CCCCCGGGATCGGCCGAGGGTGGGCACTGGTCCCTCACACAACCACGTCTCGTTTGCGTAACCAGGTAGATGCCGGCATTGACTTTTGCTGTGGACTTAAGAGGGGAAAATAAAAAAAAAAAAAAAAAAGCGGTCATGCGGTGTTTAACAGCTTAATTTGCGTTACGCAAGCTACAGAAAAACGGGTACGTTTGTGGAACCAAAGTTTCAGGCTGACGTTACTGAATTCTACGTGCTTAAACCCCGAGACACTAAGTGTGAAAAAATGTTGGCGCCTTAAACTTTCCAATTAAACTGCTGGTACTTACCGCAACACTTACAGCAAAACGATCGCAGTGTGATTGTGCTTAACATAATTTTATACGAATATGAAGTCTAAGCTTGATAAAGAGTGAAAGCATAGCCTTGTATTTCTTTACTCCTGAAACACTTCTGTTGCAGATTTATATTGCCATGCATTTTTCTTTATAGCGTTACCCTTTTGTGTCCTTTCTGTGTAGCTTTTTGGAGGTAATGGCTTTCCCTTTCCACCATGCTGTTAAACACCTTGTTGCAGGAAAAACCTAGGTTTGGTAGAAGCTGGAGAATGGTAGCGAACTCTTGCCCTTGCCAAAAACCTATTAATATATCTTTTTGTTCTTGATAGGTGTCTGTAATTACAGGAGAGCAAAGGCTGACAGAGTGTTTCTTAAAATAAATCGCTAACAATGCGCAGACGATCTAAGAATATAAATGCTCCCCTGGTAGTTAAAGAAAATGACAGCAGATATACTGAAGATAAAGCCCTGATCTGTCAAAAGACCGGAAGATTTGCAAAGTGACTAAATCAGAAGTCATAAAGGCGTCCAAGAAGGAGAATTTAAGTGTTGGGAACCAGGCACAGTTGCAAAAACGCACCCTGAAATACACCAAAGGCCTTGAGAAGGGATCATACCCCAACAAGGAGGATGTTGATGGCTGTCAGTTTACTGAATGTTTTTTTGATACACTCCAAGGGGATATGGTTGGTGAACCTACCTTGCCTTTGAACAGTAAGGAAAATCTTTCAAGAAGTAGACCTGTTCCCTTGGGGGATGAATGCTACTTGACACCTAGTAGGGACAAAGCAGAAGAAAAATCTGATGGTGGAATATCAGAGAAACAGAGGAAAAAACCTGTTGATTTTGCAACTGTAACAATTGCTGAGTTTGGGATTACTCAAGAAAGTTTTACTAAACGATCTATAGGTAAGGCTGGAGCGACTGATGAGTATTGTCCTTCTCAGAGGGACATCTGGAGGTCATCTGGTCCAACCTCTCAAAAGCTTCAATTTAGGCCTGGTTCAGGTTGTCTGGCCGAGTTTCAGTATGTCCAAGGATAGGACTGCGATAGGATGTTGCTTTAATTCCCTATTACCTTTTTTTTGTCTGGTTGGTTAGGTGTCAGTGAGTTTCACAAGGGAGTACTAAGAAATTCTGCAAGTATTGGTAGGCAGTTCCTTAACTAGCAGTTGATAAAAGAAGCAAAAGAAAGACAGCTCCTCACTTGGTGTATAGTTCAGTTAACTTGCTTTTAGGAAGTTAATTCTCTTTTGCTCAGGAAAGTTTCTTGAGCTGAGCAGCTAACTTTGGATGTTTTCATAAATAGCACTCTAAAAAAGAAAAAAAAAACCATTTCAAAGCTGTAGGTATTCTTACTAAAAAAAAATTTTTTGTTCTTCCCTCTTTCTTTCCTCCTCTGCCTGTTTCAGGGAAGTCTCCAACTTTGTTAAAATTCAGACGAAGATCAGCAATTGGAGTACGGGGATCACCAGAAAATAACACCCTTATTCAATACATTGCCCAACAGAGAAGCAAGAGGCAAAAAGAAGCTGTTACACAGGTGAGAGTCTTCTCAGTTTAATTTCCCCCAGGAATCAACATATTCTGGCAGAAAGAGAAGGCAAGTCTCAGGAAGAAGCCACCAGAAGGAATAACCCCAGCCTTAAACTTTGTTGATTTGCCTTGGACACCCTGCTTCAGAATGAGGGGATGTTACAGGTTTGTTTGTGTAGAGTCTGGAGGTTTTTCTCTGTGTCTAGCTTGCTCTTCTACTTTAACTTTTGTTTACCAGAACCTTTACTTTTCTGCATTTGCCATGCTTGATTTTTGGCTAATTAAAATGTTGATAGTTCAAAGTGAAGTAAATACTAGCATAAGTGACTTGGGTTTTGATCAGGCTTGTTCTTAGCTCAAACTAGCATAGACGGTCAGAAAACAAATTCTGGATATGGTCTAGAGGGACAGATTATGAAAGGCAGTAGAAAGTAACAGATTTCTTGATACAGTTCCTTTTTTGCATGTTTTTACAATACCACTACCATTGCAGCTAGATTCAATACAGGATTTGCTTCTTTACTGAGTTTGTTTTAGGCCAAACTACAAATACAAAGTAATAAAGCCCATGTCATCTTGGGGAGGGGAAAAAAGTCTCATGAGGTTACTTTTATTTTAGCAGGTTAGTCCTTTTAAACATGAAGATGTCAGGCCATTGAAGGACAAAATAGATGCCTTTCAAACATCTTTTAAATCAGTACAAAAAGCGGAAGGGGAAACTGGCTTCTCTGGACTGTCACAAGTGGATGATGCTTCCCAGGAAGCAGGCTCTTGTAAGTTGATTATGTTTCTGGTGAATGATTTATCTTAAATATTAGACCTTCCTTTAAGCCAAAAAGTACAAAACTACAAACACTTAATGTAAAACAAACACAAAAACTTCCTTTATAAAGGGGTGCCACGGGTTTTTGTGTTTGGCTTGAGGTTTTTTGTTTATCTTAATTCTTAGTGCATCCTGAATAGTGGTTTCTCAGAATAACCCCCAAAGAAAAATGAAGATTAGTATTTTTTGTGACTGTTTTCTTAGCTTTACTTTCTAGATTTATACCCCTTAATTTACTTTTCACTAAGCACTAGTGTCTTCACACTTTTCCCATGAATCTCGAGAATGGTTTTTATGACAACCAGTTTTAGGTGTTGTAACTGTTGTATCTCTTGATCGTGATGTGCAAACTTTTGTTTAATAACTTTGAAGTGCAGTAATTTTAGAAAGCACGTTACATTACTGTGGTGTTAACATCCTTATTTCTTAATGAAAATATTAAGTATTGCAAAAGCAAGTCAGGGCAGGACTGTGTTAACTGAGAAGATGATAGTGTAAAACAAACTACAGTGCTTCTCTGGTATTGGTGGTCTTAACATTTATATGAAAAGAATAACTTGCTTTGTTTTGAAGATTTGGTAATGTTATTTTCAAAGTAGAACTAAAAAAAAAGCATGTCTTTTTCCTGACTAGAACATTACCTAGCTTCTTGAACCTCACCATCCTTTTGGTGAAGAAACACAAAAAGAGCATTCACTGAAAAAATCTGAAGTTTGTCTTTGTGGTTTGTTGTTTGGTGTTTGTTTTGTTTTTAATTGATGCAGCTCAGAACAAAGTATCTTTTACAAAGGAGTGGAACCTGGATCAGTGGAGTGAAAAGTTCATGTCAGACAACAGTGGAGCTGATTTGAAAGAAAATTTAAGACAAAATTTGACCAACAGCAGCAAGTCTGATACCAAGATATGCACAATCTTGTCTTTACACCGAGATGTGGCTATCGCTGAACCTGTTGCTGCTGTTTCAAAGGTACTTCTATAAGTGTGGGCAAAGAACATGGAGCAAACAAATAGCACAGCAAATCTCCCTTGTAAGGATTTTATTATTGTCATGACACGACAAGGGAAGCAAAATCTGGCACGGACACTGATCCATTTGGACTAACAGTGACCATAGCCTGACCTCGGATACCTGCTGCTGGCTCTTCTGAGGCTGCGTGCAGTGTTCTTTTACATGCAGTTGTTCAATGTGGATGCTATGAGCTGTTCTAGTCAATAAGATTATACTCTTTCCTGTTAATCACATAGAAAAGCTTATTTTATTTTAAAAGGCAGATTTGCAAGTAGTTATACCACCCCACTCCCTCCTTGAATATTGAGATTGATTTGACAAACTTCAAGTTCTTTGGTTGGTCAGATAAGTGTCACCTGTTGGTTTTGGATTGAAAGGTTCAGGAACCAGGTGAAAAATATTTTCTACTCTATTTAACAAAAGTTTACTCAGTTGAGGACTGAGAAACCTCAGTGCACCTCTTCTGTGGTGATTGCAGTTGCTACTTGTGATGCTAATAGATAATTGCTTGAAGCAACACTTTGAAAAATATCCTTCATAGATACCACAAATGAGTAATGAGGACAGAGGCAAAACAGATTTGTGTCAAGTGCTTCACAAAAAACTCAGCAGATTATATTTTTTTATTTCTTTATCATGTTGTGTGGCTGTGTGTATATATATGTATATAAAATATTGTAACTTTTTTGCTAGGAATGGGCTTATGAGCAACAGAATCCTATTGAGTCGGAGGCTGTTCTAACTAGAGATATCTTAGAAACAGGCCATGGTAAGAGGATTCATCACTATTATAATCTTTGTTATATTCTTATTAGAAAGTAAAAATACTTAGAATATTTGTAAGGAAATGTTTCACAAGCATTCATCCCATGTCTGTCATCTTGCCTGCAATTTATAATGCGGTAGAAACCTGATAGAACTTTGACATAAAGGCTGATGGGGGAACAAAAAAAAAAAAAAAGTACTGCAAATGATGATCTGTTCAAGTGCTGCTGGAGAGGAGGCTCAAGTCCCAGTTTAAAAACTGAATTCAGAGCTCGTTCAGCACAGCATTAAACATGTTTTTACTTAAGCACAGTTCATAGGAAGGAAATAGCTTTTATGAGAGGAGCTGAAATATTTGGAAGGTGCGGTAGGGCCTCTTGGGTGGTATGTTAGCAGTTTCATTCTGATAGAAAAAGCAAGCTCAAACTGAGGCACGGGCTGGGAATAACTGTTTAGAGTTTCCCTGTGTTTTGTTAGTCAGGCATTTTTAGGGAAAAGTGTAGTTGAGTGGTTCATGTCTGGGAAGGAGGGAGGGATGCTAATGTACAGAGTCCCTCTCTGTACATCAGAGAATGCATGTGGTTTTTTTCCCCCAGTTTATGTGGATGAGAGAGAAATCTTCACGCAAAATGGCTTTTCCTTCATGCAGTGCTCCCTTTTTCCTCTTGTCTATTTTGTAAATTTCTCAACATATGAAATGTAAATGTGGCACAGTAATAGCAGAAATTTGGAAATGAATGGATTTTTTTCGAAATGCTCAGTGATGTTGATGCCCAGAATCTATCGAGATGTGCACCTTTATAGTTCATGTTGCTAATACTAAAGTCTTCTCAATTTTACTTCAGTCTTTAATTGTCATTATCTGTCTACTTGCTCTAAAGATTTAAGTTCTGACCACATCACTAAAGACTTCGGAAGTAATGTTGTATTGGATCTAAGCAGAAGGAAAGTTTATTTTGCGGAAGAACCGAGCCTGGAAATATTTGATGAAAGCAAGCCACCTGTCACGCCGCTGCAAACGGGAAATATTGCATGGAATGAACATACACGGAGTGGCTCCCATCTGCGATCTGTATTAAAGAAAACACCGGTGAAACAACTAATTAATAGCGTAAAGGTTGGTTAACTGACTTGCATGGAGGTACTAAGGATGAACTTCTGCAGTCATTGAACTACCAGAAGTTGAATCTCGGTTAAAAATACTTTTTGACTGATTGACATGCCTCAGAAATAATTTACTGCTATCAGTGGATACCTGTTTGCTGTTTAGTCATTTAGGAAGCTTTGTTTGAAGCTTTCGTGTTATGAGATGATCCATATGTATGTTGTTGAGTTTTATTCATTTAGAAAACAAGTAGGTTTTTTTAAACAATAGGACTGATTATTGAATCTTGCTTATAGAAAAATTTATTTTCTCTTGATTTCAACACGAACATTATTTTAATTAAATGGTATTGAATGGATGTTTGTATCACTTAAACTTGGTAGGAATACTCGAACAATGCAGCTGGCAGAGGAGGAGGTGAATCTCTCACAGTTTCCAGTTGTTCAGAAATCTCTGAAGCATTGCAAACAGGTCAGATTCCCCTTTTAGGTTTTTTAAATAGGCCGAGCATTATGTGGGATCATCAGGTTGTGCCTCTTTGGTAAATCTGAAGAAATGATACGCATTAACCACCACTGAAGTAGCTCGTGTGTGTCATCCTCCCTTGTGAAGTAGCAAATAAGGTGGCCAAGGAAAATAATGCCTATAAAAAAAAAAAAATAATCCCACACCAAAACTGCAGAAAGCCTTTAATACCAGAATAGAATCACCTGGTTTTCAACAAATTTTACACTTGTCAACTGGAACTTGTGGGACTTTTCTAGTCTTCTATTCTCTTTCTTCCTTAATTCTTGTTACTGTAATAAAGCTACACTGAAAATTCTGGTTGAATCCATGGGACATGTAAAGGTGGTATTTCACTGTTTGGTTGGGGGGGTGATTTTTAAGAGAATGTTAAGACCCATATAAAGACCTCGAAAAGTCTGCATTATGAAAGTTCCAGATTCACTAAGCAGTCTGTGTGTTTTATTATAATAGAGAAAACTGAGAGACATAGCTCTGAAAAGGCAAAGAAGAAAAGAGTTACCTTTGGAGAAGTTCTAAGCCCAGAAATATTTGATGAAACTTTGCCTGCAAATACTCCATTGCGCAAAGGAGCAACCCCAGTCCGTTATCTGGGATTACAAAGCAATAGCCCTTTTGCAAGGTTAAGTCTCCTTGAAGAACCGCTATCCCAGCCAAACTTTGATTGCAGTGATGTAAGTTTTTTGTTGTTTTGTTGTTGGTTTTTTTTTTTAAGCTATAGAAACTTCCTCTTAGTTTCTGTGAATGTTCAGTTTTTGTTTAATTTTCCCCAGTCTGCTTTGAAAAAAAAATTTAAAGTATTAAAATACAGTCTGATTGAAGCATTAGAATGACATTGAGAACTTTTTCTTTTGCTTTAGGAATACTAAATAGCATTTTGGCCTGTAGAGCTGTGTTTAAAGTTGAGTACTGGTAGCATATGAAATGTTTTTTGTCTTGGCTTATTCATATACTTTTGATACTGTATTATTGCCATATATAGCAAATGAGTTGCTGCATTCTTTAAGGGGAAAAAAAATTTGCCTGGCTATTCCAAATACTAATGGACAAAGTGTTTTTCAGTATAGCATATTGCTAAAAAATTAAACTTTTTTTTTTCCCCAAAGGAATGTGTTGAACCTCTTCAAGAGTTAGTGGAGGGTTCTGTTGCTGCAGAAGACCTCTTTCCTGTTGAAAGTGCAGAAGGTAACCCCAACTTGTATTTTTGTCATTAGATAATGTATCTTTCTGTATCTGAAAATAGAGAGATGACACAGAGGGTTTTGTTTGTTTGCTTTTATACAGGGGATATATTTCAGTTGTGCTAAAATTTAAATGCTTTTGATTTCTTTTAAAGGTCTTTGCAGTAGCTGCAGTGTTTACCTATTTTTAGGCAAACTTGATGTTATTTGACCTTATGGTATTTTTCTGTGAAAGTCGATGATCTAATTAGACCTACCGCTTTAAGTAACTGGGCTTCCTGTCTTGATTCTGATATGGTAATTTTGATGTTTTTAAAAGAGCAAGAAAGGCAGCAACAAAAACAAAAATTGAAAGGGGTTGTGCGCCTGTGTGTGTGTGTATCTATGGAAGCTGTGTAAGTGCTAATTATTTTGTTACCAAATCCACGCAAGTTTTGTTTTCCTCTGTTATGTAAAGCAAGCTGTCAAGGGTTGGGGTTTTTTTTTATTAATCTTGCCATGTTTGATAGTCCTTTATGCAGAAAACATTAATCAAGACTAAGATGACTAAATACACTGCATTATGTTAGAAATGGTGTAGATAATTTCCTCAAAAGTTGATTAACTTTTTGTGTTGGTACTGAATCAATATTTTTTTTCATACATAATAACAGAAACTGACAAATCTGATATGATAACAACTCGTTCTTCTACTAAAAGGAAGGTAAGTTTCTTGAGTGACGGTGGTGTTCTTTTGTTGGTTGTGTTTTTTTGTTTTTTTTTTTAACTCCTTCAGGCAGAATTGTTGTCTGTTATACCTCCTGATGCTTGTAAGAATTTTTTAAAGCCTCAGGTATGAGGATTGCATATATCCAGGTATATGGAAATAACTCATGCTAGTGCAGGTAATTGTATATAAAGGAAATCTCGTTTTTGAGTGAAAGTGGTTTTCCAGTTATTAAAAAACATTTTTTATTATAGTGTGACACTTAAATTTACTATTTCTATTGAATTTTCCAGGAATTTTCCCAAATAGACTGACAAAACTTAGAAGATATTTTTTCATGGGATCAGGAGCTTCATTCATAGGAATCTAAAAAAACTGTTCTCGCAGAAAATTGAGGAGAATGGAAACAAAGTTTTCTGTCTAATTTTTCCATTTGGTTTAATTTCTTTGACATACAGGAACATGAGATAGAAGTTAATGAAGTCAAGTTTATTCTGTGACTTGTGACATTTTTTGGTATCACTGAGAACGTGGTTGTGTTCCCAAGTCCAGTGCTAAAGATCTCCAGTCTTGTTAACCTTTTTGTCTGCTAGCCATAAGGCAGCCAGCATATCATACGTGTAACTCTTCTGGTTGCTGGAATTTTAAGGTGGATAGAATTTATTGTACAACCATTTCAGTGCTTTCAGACTTCAGTGTTATGCAGTTCTAGTGTGCTTTATTGGAAGGGGAAGGCAAAAAAAAAAGTAATAATGAAAAAAATTACCCATCTTTTAAAGAAATTAGCTGAAGATGAAAATTTACTATTTTCTCATTAGCGTGTCCTTTTTGTACAAATAGAACTATATTGTACTGTGTGAAGAGACTAGCTCTATAAATCTTAATTTCCAACTGTGTCTAGTTCTCATGACCTGCTATATGAAATAATGGAGACTAATTACAAGGTGATTCTTACGACTGTGGTGTATTTTTAAAAAAAGGAAGCATATGCATGTGCACCCCAACAACTTAAAGTTCATGTTCCTCAACAGTGTAGCACCATTTCAGGGGGGACTGAAGTTAACATCTCAAGAGCCACAAATGCTAAGAATGCTAAAAATACTAAAAATCCAAGGAAGAACAAGTTTCAAAACCAAACAAATATAACCACGTCTGCTGCCAAGAAGACGCAAGTAAGTGACAGCCCACTGCAGTTGGTGAATGCTGCCTTTATTTCCCTATGCAAGTGTCTCTTCTTACTTGTGTGGTTTATGTGATTATTTTGATATTTATAGTAAAGATTTTCTAAAGGGTGTTAATGTTTCCCGTTGCTGCCAATATTCTCTTCATGCCTGTTTTGTTTTCCTACAGTTACTGCCACACCACTCTTTCTTACTGCTTGTAAAAGCAGGATTTAAATACTTGTAGGACAAAAAGGATACTTTATGGAGGTCATTGGGGGGGAGTCACTTATCAGACTTCTGGGACAGAAGATGAGTTTGTGATTCTGCTCTTACCAAGCATATGCAGTAGTAGTTCTTTGAACTTGCCCAGTTATATGCTATAGTGAAGTATTGTAAAGGTGTGAGACTTCTGAAAAGGTTTTTGCTTTCATGTATTGGAAGGGAAAGCACATGTTCCTTTTCAGACTAAGCAAGAATGAAGAATCTGTAGTTTTGAGCTGAAAGACTAATTTCTTTGACTTCCAGATCCGGTTAAATGAAACAAAAATCAGATCGCTTGTTTGAGAAGTAATTCTCCTTTGCTTTGAGTTTTTAAATGAATTTGTAGATGTCAGAATGAGTGGAACCTTCATTTTAGGGGAAATGATTGTTATCCATCAAAAGCCAGCAATGTTGTCACTTATTTGTTGGAAACTATTGTACAGTATCATTATAATTACTTTGTGCTCTATTCAGTCTTCTCCATCTTTTCAGAAAACAAAACATACAAGCTATGGGAAAAGAAGAAAGAAAAAAGTAAAAAAATCTTTATATGGGCAAAGAGAGATGGCTTCTAAGAAACCTCTTCTCAGCCCTATCCCTGAAATTCCAGAGATTTTCTTTTCTGCCTCGTCTCCAAACTCACCAGAGGCAGATGCATTTATTTCGGGTAATGTGGTTTTTTGTTTTGTTTTGCCTTGCTCTTTCTGTTGCTTCTAATTTTTTATTTCAACAGTTACGTAAAAAAATGGTTTATAGTTATCTTGAGTTCTGTGAAAAGGTGAAGAGCCCAGTATATATTATTTACTTTTAACTCCTTCTGTAATAGTAGAGTCCAGAGGATCTAATAGATTAATAATCTGCAATTTAACTTCTGCTGGACTCCAGTGTAAAGCTGACAAAAAAAAAAAGCGCCTCTCTGTACTGTACTTTGACTAGATACTGATATTTTCATAGTCTTTTAAAACTGGTAAGTTGGTCATAAATAGTTAAATGATGTGTAGAAGCTTTCTGTTGGCTTGGGGTTTTTTTGTTTACACTAGTTATCTGGAATGGTTGTTTAGAAAGTTACTTCTATGTAGGTAAAATACTATAAAGCTATTATTGCAATATTTAAAAAAAGATTTTGTACATTCACAAGTAGTCAAGTAACCATGTGTTTTTTTGTAATTCAGAGGATATATTTTTAGATAATACCAAATCCAGGAATGCTCACAAGGATGTTCAACAGAAGCCAGTGGTTGAAAGAATGGGAGCAGAAGACATCTGTGCAGTTCATATGTATTCAAGCTCTAAGGACCTGGACGCTGTGGAAGCCAGCACCTCCAGTGATGCAGTGTTTCAGGTGTCAGATGGTGATCTGAAGTCTGTTTCTGACATTCATGATAAGGTAACTGATTGATATGCTTAAGGATACTGCTAGAAAATAAGTCAGAATTGTGCTTATGATGCTGGATCGAGAGAGTAATGTTTTGGGGGAAGAAAAAAACCTTACTCTGAGTGAATAAATGTTGGAACCAGCTGCCTGGAGAGGCCGTGGAATCTTCATCCTTGGGAGGAAGTATTCAGAACTCAGCTGAACAAGCAACATAAGTTTGGCCCCACATTGGAGCAGATTCCAACATACAAGATTCTGTAGGCTGGTTGGTTGAGGCTTTTTGAGAATGACTAGACTTGGTGAGGAAAACAGTAGCAGTTGTTTGGTTGTCAGCTGTTTGAAACCAGTTCCTTGTGGATTACCTTTTGCCTATATTTAAAACCAAAACAATTCGGTTGTTTTCTTTTTTTCAGTTTTCAAACATTGTGCCAGATGCAAAGTGTGGTTTTGATACATCTGACTATTTCCAGCAAGGTAAAGAGACTGCGTATGTAAGAGAAGCAAAAGAAAGTCATTCCGTGACAGAAAATGAGAACTTACAAGGAAGTCTCCTAAATAAGGCAGAGCAGATAACCAGGCTAGAATTTCTAGAACAACAGGACACTAATGTACGTGAGGGTGTCCAAAGAACTTGGTGTCCACAAAAAGATTCTATAAGAGGTAGTCCACGAAGAAGAAGTAGTGCCATCTATTTTCCCCCTGTTGAAAAATTGGAAATAACTGGAAACCATCTTCCAGTGTTTTCTTTTAATGTGGAAGAAGTCTTGTCTGCTCCTCAGCTAAACAATGACTCCTTAGAGCCTTTTGGAAAAAGGAGCGGTGGCAGTGGCAAAAAATGTGTGAGACGCAGCATGAGATTTCATAAAGATGCAGAAACTGAAGGGCTTGCATGGATTCAAGTACCCAGTGAGATTGAAAAGAACCCTCCCCTGCTACCTTCTGCTCGCAAAATCAGAACAATAAGCACATCCATCCTTACAGAATCTGAGAATATTCACCACAGAGAACAAAATCTCACTCAGTTTTCAGCACCAGGGAAGGAGAACAATGACTCTGTTCATCTTGGTGGTGGTTCTTGCAAAAAATGGAGGAAGAAAAGCATGTGTGTATCTGCACCTCAAGAAACAAGAATGTGGTCTCAGACCCGGAAAAGGAGCATAACAAATTCTGTATATAGGAAGGACAGAAGTAACCAAAAACACTCTGAAGAAGTAGAAATACCTCTTGAAAGTAACTCTAACATTTAGCGAGGTTTCAGCTACCTCTGATTTTCTGAAGTGAAGGTCAGTATTAGATTCTTGTGTTCTCTCTTAAGTGCTGTTTTCTTCTCTGTCTCACTTATATTTCCTTACTTACTATTTCCTTATTCATTTTCTGGATAACTGAGATCTGACTTTTGATGTGTAAAATGCTTGAAGATCAGAACCATGTGGAAGACCTAGCTTGGCTCAGAGCATTGGTCTGGTTAAACAGTCATGGCAGGTAATCAAGAGGATACAAATTTTTTCTCCCATGATGAACTGAATTTGACATCTCCTCTATTGCTTACATGTTTTCATATTTTTAGTGCTGTCTATAGAGCAATAGCAATTAAACACTGCTAATGTTAAAAAACTCAATAAGTGACCGACTTTCTCTGCAACACCAAGTTCAGTCATTTCAAGAAGGCAAAGCCTAATTTTTCTCAGCTCTAGGGGCCAGTGAATTTTGTTGCAAGATACAGCAGTAAGAATATACAACATCTAAATAATGTTTATGCATACATTTCTATGCATGTTACCACAGTCTGGGATTTTCTTGTGTTTAGGTGAATACGTTTACAGTTGTGGTACCTGCACAAAAAACCTGTGTGGGTTTATTGCCCTTGAAACTTAGTCGTGACTGTTAGACTGGCTGTTTCTTGCTACGTTTGCTCTGCTCTCAAATGCACAATCAATACATGAAGTTGCTAAAGGGAGACGCGTCAGCAAACACGTGTGAGACTCGGCTGTTTAAGTAGAGAGGAATGAATTTGATAGTTCAGAAGTATGGTCTGACAAGTTACTCTTTAGATGATTGGGAGTTGATACTAATCCATATTTTGCTGATCCCTATTTTCATTTTTTTGAAAGAATGGGATTCAATCTTAAGATTTTATTATATTTTTGAAGTGTAATTGAAGTAGATAAAAGTGAATTTGTCTGTAGTAGTTAAACCGTGATGTTGTACAATATGCCCTTTCAGCTAGAATTGCTTTAAGTGTTGAGGTTTTCCCTGTACTTGATCATTCCTTCTAAATCGCTTTTGAAATCTGCATGAATTTTCTTCCAGATTTCAAAAATATCCTAAAAAAACCCCCTTGAGATTCTCTGCAAATAAGAAAGAAGTCACTTCTGGCTTTAAGGGGAGGAGTAGAAGGCGAGGAAGCTGTTACCATCTTCTGAAAATACTTTGCTTTACCTTCTGTGCACGAGTAGGGGTAGAGTTTCTATAAGGAAAACTAAATTTTGTGGTAGAGTTAATGAATTCTTCTCTGGTGTGAAGGTTGGTAATTTTTTTTAAAAAAAGCTTTTAAATCCTTATTGTATATAACCTTAATCTTTAAAAATTAAATTGGCTAAGGAAAGTGAAACATTCACCACAATAAAGCTGTACTTCATTTCTGGACGCTTCCAATCTTCAGTGTTCATACACCGTACTAAATACAGTGGATATTATTCAGTAGTTGACCTGTCATCTTACTGTTTTCATTTGTCTGGTTTGAACAATGCAATAAAACGTGATGACTGTAGGTGGTCTACTTAAACATTTGCCGTTGCTTTCATTTTTCATAAAGTTGTGTTTCAGCTCTAGTGAAATACCTGTGCCAGCTTGAAGGAAATAGCTTTCTGTTGAAAATGATCTCCTCTGTGACCTTGTTTTTGACATTATTGATGTGGAATAAAATATTTTATGTACTTGGCAGCTTTTAGAAAGCTTAAAAGCAAACAGAACAGTTTCATTTTTATGCATGTTTTACTTTTCTCTACAGACATCATCGTTTTTTCCCAAGACAAGAACTCCTAAGGCAGCTTGAAAAGAAACTTCGCTACTTAAATGCTGTTCATCTTATGCTACTTTAGAAACATAACTGAAGTTATCAAACCTGTCTCCCTGATGTTTTATTTTGGGGTTTGCTTTCGTGTCACAGTGAAAATTTTAAGATTTGCGAACAGAAAGGCAATAGGTACTCAGGTTGAATCTTCTTGTGCTAGCAGTATATTGGCTTACCAGGAGAGGGCAGTCTGACATGAGGTTTTATGGTTGTAACTGAATATGAAAATAACATCATCATGTACAAAATCTTTGAAGAGGTGCTAGCTAAGGTTAAAATCTAAAGCTCCTTGAGATTAAAACTAATAATAGCTGCTACTTCTAACATCAAAAAAAAAATATCAAAGCAGCAACTGAACTACACACCAAAATTAATCTGGAAAGCAAATGCTTATGCACTGTATTGAGATATGACACTCTATATAGAAATCACATTGTCGTCTTAAACAGGCGCAGCTGAGCTGTTAGGGTTTACCTAACAGCTTTTAGATATGAAATCTAGCAGTGTGAGGGGAACCTTTGGAGACTGTGGGCGTTGGATACTGAATACCAGACTTGAATAGTCAGGTCAAGTAAAGAGTTGTCCTGGAGGAAGAGGCAATAAACTAGTTTGTATGATACTAGAGGGCTGAATGTAAAATGCTGCCTAGAACATGCTTTTTGTGATGTTGCTGTCCTATGCATCAGTCACAGAAGCAATAGAAGAGAATTCTCCCTTGAGGTTTCTTGAGTGGATAGGCGAAGTGCACTTTAAATGTGAAGTGAAGTGTAAGTAAAGTCAGAAGTAGAAGAGCCGAGGGTAAGGAGAAGAAAACAAGGCTTGGATTTTCCTCCTGGCACAGCTTGGTTGAAAAGGATTGTTAGGAATTATATGTATATGCTTGACAGCAATTTGCATGGCTTTAATGAGAGTAAGGTTGGAACCTACAGGGAAATGAAGAGGTTGCAGTTAACGGGGCTTAATCTGGAGAGGACTTGAGAGGAGACAAGTCTTCAATTATGCAGAAGGTTGTTGTAAGTGGGGTGTGTGTGTAATAATCTGTTCTCCATATCTGTACTGAATGGGACAAGAAATAATGTGTTTAAATTAGAGATAAATGTCTCTGTTAAACATTAAGAATAAGTTCCAGCAGCAGAGATAGTTGAGCACGGAAATACATTGCCTTGGGAAGTTGTGGAATCTCCATCACTGGAGTCTTTTAAGAACAGATTAAACAAGTATCTGTCAGGAATGACATATGATCCTTCCTAGGGGTAAGGATAGGGCCTGGATGGCCTCTTGAGGTCTCTTCTGGCTGTGTTTTCTGATTGCTAGAGATTAGGGTTGCAAGAGGTGATTTGGGACTCGCCTGATAGTTAAGACCTGAGATAGAATCTGTCATGGAATAGGGAGCCGGAGAATCACTAACACTGGGGGCTGTTTAGCATGGGAAGGAACTGGGGAATCTGGGGGAAAGCCCTTCATGCAAGGCTAACAAAATGGTCTTAGTCCTTGAAACGCTCAGATCTCATGTGACTGCTCTTCCTCAGAAGAGCATCTCTAGACTCCTGGAATAGTCTAACCTACAATTTGGTGGCCATACCGTTATGCAGGAAGTGTGAACAGCAGAGCAAACGATGCTGTTCTATTTTCAGATTTACTTTTCTAAAATTGAGTTAACATAACCTCTGAATGATCACCAACTTTTCTGTCCCTATTCAATCAACAGAAGCAGTCACTTGTCTTCATTGCCTTGTTGGGGGTGCAGGAATTAAAATTAAGGTATATCATGTGTGAGTGCAGACAGGTCTCAAGTCAAGATAGTCTGAGGTTCCAGTTTTCAGCTGTTAATTGCAGCACTATCTGGAATAGATTTTAGTAGTGTTCTGCCACATTAGGTTAGCTTAGTCATTTTAATACTACCTGCACTTTTATCTGCAACGAAGTCCTTGGACAGAAGAATGCACAAAGCAGTGTAAAACTGAGTCATGCTTTTGTTCCATCAGTGAAGCATCACCAGGCAGTATGTTGGACTGGGGAGCCGGCTGGTGCAGTCTCCCAGAGCGAAGGCTAGCCTTTGTAGCCTTCCATTTAAGTCACTGTTTTGACTTTTTTTGTGCAGTACTGAGCTCCCTGTCAGTCTGTATTATAGTGGCATCTAAAGAAATGTATGGTGTCGGCCAGTCTTTCACCCTCTTCATTTACTCTCCCTACTCTTCTAAAGGGAAGCTTTTTCTCTCTTGGGAGGGTTGTTACAAAGATTACTTTGTTTAAAAGTACTTCACTAACGTTAAGTGCTGTATTGTAGAGACTTTAAATGGCTTCAAGCATGGTAATAGCTAGCACTAAGTGTATATTGCTGAATAATTGCATTTAGCAGATTGCTATGTAATTATCATGCTCTGACTGGCATGGAGGATAAGTGGTGGGTCCTAGAAAGACTGATTATTATGCCACTCTGTAATTATGATGTAGTTAATAAGTAAGAGTAATTACATATCACTTTTGCTTGCACTATCCTATGAAGTGCAGTCTTGATACATTTTCACATAGCTGAGTATCTGACAGCTAGCAGTAAGGAGTGTGTCACAGTTGGAATGGGCTTTGCTTAAATTTGCTTAATGTTAGTGGCAGAAGGTACAAAGAATGGCACTACTTATACTTGAATTCTTCAGAAAGTTTTAAAGGGGAAGTGTTAGTATTTTCCAGGAACTATTTATGCCAATATTTTGCCATAATTAAGATGCACTTAAGTTACAAAAGTGGAGACGATATGACCAAGTTTTCTCACATGAGTTGAGAAGTAAAATAGTTTTCTCAACCTGACGCTCATGGTAAGCAGGGGAAAGAAAACAACAGGAATAGTATATGCCTTTTTTTTTTTTTAAACTTTGAAATAATCATTGTAAATAAAGCTTCATCTAGACTTCAGCTTATTTTTCTCTACTTGCTTCTGACTAATTGGGCAATAGAAGGGGATACTGGAACACCTAAGGGTTGCATATGAATTTCACTAGTGTGCGTTCATCTAGTCTAGCTGCTGTTTAGAAATGCACTAACATGTTTGTGCTCTACTCTTCTTCCTCACTCTGAATCCTCTAGCACTCTTTTCATTCACTTAGACCTGGAAAGACTTTAGTGATGAACTGATCTATGCACAAGGAAGGAAACAGAAAAGCATTGTTAGATCTATGTATAAGGAAATGGAGAGAGGGGGAAAAAAAAAATCAGCCATTGAAGTATGCCAAGTATAGCTTAAGCACACAGAACAGGAGTGGGCAGTGAAAGAAATTTCATTTTCAAGCTGCTAACGGGTAGGTAAGCAATGGAAATCTAAAAACAAACTGTAAAGTGTAGTCGGGTATTCCTTCAAATTGCACGTTTTCAAAGTTAGGAGGTAAACAGTGCAAATCAAAATGTTTTAACTTGAAATAAGGGAAGGTCTAATTTCACCGTGTCCCTGTGGAAAAGATGAAGTTGTGCCTGTGACTTATAGACAAGAAGGCTAATGTATTAGTTTTGTAATTAAGTCCTGTAAATTGTGCATAACAGAGCAATTAACTACTTTAACCAAGCTTTGGAAAGGGAAGAAGAAAAACCTGTGTGCACTGGGAATGAGGGCATGGAACATATTCCCTAACTCAAACCTGAAAAACCTGGTGTTAGTCTTGGGTTATTTCCAGTGACCCCTTGACTCCCATCTTCCTGCCCCCTGCACAGATTTGGAACTGGTCAGCCATATTTGTTTTTGGAAGGGAGAGGAGACAGATATAATGAATGGCTTTTATTGTGCAATATTTCAAAACCTTTTTGACTGCATTCGGATGGGATGGAAAATGTTCTACCCTGCGCTGCAGCCAAAATAAACAAAACATATTCCCTAAACCTGGATGTGTGTTTCACTCAAACTGGCAGTAGTTAGAGCTCTACTCTTGAACAAGAATTTAGTTTGACAATTTTTAGGCCTTGTTCAGCTGAATGTAACAGCCAAAGAAAATACTTGGAAAAAAAATTAAATAATACACATATTTACAGCTTGCAGGTGGCATTAATTTTTGTGGTTCATAGTATTTAGTTTTAAGAATTCCTGTTAGTTGGGCTCTATTGTAGATTTTTAAAAAAAATATTCTTAATTGTCTTTTCTTTTTTTTAAATTAGTTTTTTTATGAGAATAGCCATTCTGAAGGAAAATACATTTTATGTAGCTCCCTGATGGGTGATAAATAGTTGTGATTCAAGGCCTTAAAAGTTTAGGGTCTACCAAGAAACTGAAAATTCTACAAACATAAGACCCAGCAAACTAGCAGTAAAACCTTGACAGAAGCCTGCTATGGACTGGCTTCCAACACCACTAAAGTTTAGTTTAAATACCCTCTTTATGGTGCAGGCTTACTGCTGTTTTTTAGCATTGCCAATCAGTTCAGTGAAGACCTTGCACGGTGTAACCAAGACAATTCATGCTGTGCAACGCATTTTATAGTCTGAACAACCATATTTATTAACAATAACAATAACAACTTAATTTAGTCACCTATGCCCAGAGGCCTCTGAGTATTGTAACAATGGACTAAAACTAAGTTAACAAAACAAACACAACAAATAATATGCAAAACTATTAATGTTATTAAGTAGATAAATGAGCCTCATTTTTTAAATCATTATGGTTAAGCCATTAACGATTACAAACAAGGTATCTCAAAGTCTGAACAGAAGCAAGAAAAAATAGCGATAGTTCCTCGAAAGCCCTAGTGACATAGTAAACTAAACAAGCTAGGAATCAGAAAAACTGGGCTTTTTGTTCCCTCTGTGGTCTGGGTTTGGTTTTGTGCTGGTCTTGAATTAAATTGTTACTCAGTTTCCTTGTTCTTTGTCTTTCATTTATTTGCCAGCACTTGTAACATCAGGGTGAAAAATACGGATCCAAAATCACCATCCATTAAATCAACTGAGTTATACGGAAGATACTTTTGAAGCCACGCTTCACTGTCATAAATAACCTGCCTATGTCATGCAAATGTTTGGACAAACAAATGCACTTAGTTCCATGGTTAGAAGGTCAGTAATGCTGAGTTTTTGTAGTAAATAATATTCACTAATGCAAATCTATTAAGGTTGTAAGGGAATTCCTGCTTGAACTGTGGCTTAGATATGTTGAGTATCCTCGTGTGTGCTATTGAGGAAAATGTAATTGTGTGGGTAAAAATGTTAATGATGAATAAAAAGGTCATTTTACTCTCCCCTCAAGAAAAAGTCGTAAGTACCCATGGTAGGTTTTGCAAGGAAAGCTTTGTAAGGCTTACATAAGGAGTAGGTAACGTACATGTACCTTACCTTAATGCTAAGCATTACATGATACGAGCTTTGAAATATAAGCCTCAGATATTCACTTTGCCTTTGTCTTTTGCATCTCTCTCACTGCTTATTTCTCACTGTAGCTAGAGGACTGTTGTACCTTGCTGAGTTTTGCTGCATTGCTGTGTTCCACTGCCTCGGGTCTGGAGCGTGTTGCCTTCTGGTCTGCCTCACTTACATTGCTTCTGTCTTCCCAATACTTCCTCCTCTTGCTTAATACACCGATGTCTGGCTCTTGCCAGTTACAAAAATGACAAGTAGGTTCACAGAGTGACGATCCAAAAAGGGAAGCAAAGCAGTTGGTAGCACAGAGAATGTATGCATACAGGAGATATTGCGAGTTAAGCAAATGAAAGCATTACTGCCAGGAACTTTTTCTAATGCTTGGCATAGCGCCTCTTAATAGAGCCACAAAAAAAATCTTAGTCACAGCCAGATCTGTGGTGTTAAGTGCCTTGGAATTGCACCTTTGTGTAAGAGTTAAAGAAAATGATAAGGCTATAGGTAGAATTAAGTATGTGGTTTCATACTGCCACACAGAATAGCCAAAGCCTTAAATTGTTCCTCTTTTATTAGCAAAGAAAATCTCTGCTTCTGAAAATTTCTTTTTTTCTCATTCCACTAAGGATCAGCAAGGGCTAAGGACTTGGGGTGGTAGTTGAGGAGAAGTCTTAAACTAAATCCTAAAACTTTCCGTTTCCATATTTTTAGCCTGCCTTTCTTCTGCTTTCAGTATTGAATGCAGCGCAACTAGTATGATCGTGCCAAAAGCTGTTTAAACAATATTAAGATGTTTTCTTCAAACTTCTCCCTAGGAAGATACTCTTTTTCGAGAGGAATGTTTTCCCTGGAGCATTACATCATGAATTGGTTCAGTTCTTGGAGTAAGAAATTGGACCAAATGGTGGAGAAGGTCTCCAGGGGAAACATACTTATGCTGTTAAGTATTCCCACCAGAAAGCTTAGAAACCGCTTACATATTACCATTCTGTCCACATTTAGCCTTTCACCTTACTGCAGCTGAACAGAGGGAAGGGGGGTGGTTAGACTTTTTTAAGGAAACTTGAACCTTCTTTGTTTTTGTCATTACATTTTTCCCCACTTTTATTGTATCTTGTGAACTGAACTCTGGTAATGGAATGTCTCATTTTTGACAGTAATGCTGCATAAAGATGCATTTGTGTTGTATGCAAACTGTTAATGAAATCTTAATTATGAAGGCTTCCTTGGAAACTCTGAATTTAGGGGGGTTTTGAGGATTAAAATGAGAGGAACCTCTGAGAAGACCAGAGGATGGAGGGATTTGGGTGGATTAGCGGGACAGCAGCCATATGAACAACGTCTGAGCTGTAACAGTATTGTGTTTCCTCTTGTGTATGGATTGGTTCCCCATCAACGATGGAGGCACTTGATATGGTTTCCTATATCAAATGAAAATCTCAGAACAAGAAGAAATATACTCCTTAGATTTAGTAGTGCAGATCAACAGGTTGGGGGTGGGGTTTTGGTTTGGGTTTTTTGGGGTTTGTTTGGGTTTTTTTTTAATATGGCAGTTCTACTCTGCAGAATTAGTCTTTGAGAGCTGATAAGCTTGCAATTTCACCAAGGTCCGCTTTTTTGTTTTGTAGACAGTTAAGGACCTAAAAACATATTCCAGGTGCAAGTTGGATTTGGAAAGTTTCAAATTTGTTCATATTTAGTTCACACAGTTACCTTACAGGATATAAAATGCAAATACATACCAATGTAATAAAACTTAGAAGAATAACCTCCTGGACAAACATGCCCCAGGGCAGGACACTTCATAGTTTGTGAGTGCCATGAATTGGACCGTGGAGCTGAATGAGAAAGGAGCCTCCTGTGATACTTCTGAGTCCTGTTCCCATCAGTATTTTAGGCAAACTGTGTTCTACCACCCCAGATTTGTTTTATTGGGCTAAGAGAGGATTTTTGTATCCCAAATCTTTCGTTTGGCACCTTTAATCGCTCCTTAGAAAAATTAAACCAAGCAAAAGTTTAATTGAGTTGTTCTCACTCAAAGGGTATGATACTCTATAATCATAAGAGACTGACGAGAAGGTGAAACCCTACAGATGTTTCCTCTCTTCCTATTTGATATCTAATATTTCTAAAAAGTGTTGTGTGGGTTTGTTTTTTTAAGAAAAAAAAATCACAGGCACACTTCAACTGTTCATAACAAGAAGGACCATTAAGCTGGTCCAGCTGCTGAGGGACTGGCACTAAAATTGGTGACTGGAAATTGGCACGGGATTGCAAAAGACTTCTGCCAAAACATATTTAAATTATGTAATCATATGAAATACACACACTAATTACACTGTGCATATTATTGCTACATTCAAGTTATGAAATCATTCAATAACAAAGTGTATAGTAGATAATGCAAGGTTGTAAGAAGAGAGAGACTGTTGTGAAGCATACTGAAATCAGTGGAAACGGTCATGCTGGCTGCAGTGGGCCCTGGATGAGAGCATGTAAGTGGTATTATGTTATTCCAGTAGGGGAAAAAGGCACGAGTGTAAGATCAGCACTTGGACCTGTTGTCCAGAACCCTGATGCAACCAGCTATCTCGAGGTTTCATTTCCGCCGTAGAACACATGCAGCGAAGTCGGTAACAGTGCAGACTTCTGACACTGGCAATTCCCAGTGCTTCTGGAGCCTCTACTGCAGCAGATGGGCTGTTTGGTCTGCGATACTTAGGCTATCTCCCGAGCAAGTGACAAGTCACGTTAGTGGTGTTTGGTGGTGGTGCTTCTCCGAAAATAAAGCTCAGTCATCTGCACAGCACAATCAGCTATGAGGCTGGACCAGAACTGGAGTACCCTGTATGCTCCATGCAAAGTTGTAGTCCTGCAAAGGTTTCTGCTTGGAAATAACCTGGGTTTGGAGA